TATTTCGCTTTGTTCCTCAACTGCAAAGAGAAAGTTCAATATTTGCATTCTCCTGCATCCAACGTCTTCATATTTCGCGGGGAAACAAAAATCAGCTTGAGAAACTGGTAAAAAATGTGTTAAGTATAACTAAGTAAATGGTTCTTCTGCTGATATCGTTTCCGCAAAAACCTGCCATGCTTAACAGTTTTCGAAGAATTGCCAATCCGATCTGGCTTTCTTTAATGCGCTTTCTTCACTTTTGCTAAATAGTACTACGTCTTCTGTATCTGAACCTGGGCTGATCAATCGGTAGAAGAACGGACTCAGAATCGCGAAATTCCGGTGTCGAGCATCGGGTGGGTAACTCGCCCTTCTTCCTTCTGAGGTTAACAGATGAGTAACACTCGTGGCGAAGAGATGGTAGACCGCACGCTACGCTTACCAAATAGCTGCGGTGGATTCTGCTTTTAAAAATCTGACTGATAGCATGGAAATGGAGATCTGCCTCCAGCCACTAACTTCATGGAAAAAGAAGGGCGCCAAAAACAGCCCCATCATGAAAGTGTAAAGAATACTGGCAATCCAAAGGTTGCCAACTTTCCAAATTTCCTTCTTCATGCCTATAGGACATGCACATCAGCACTGATTGTTCTAAATTCTTTGTATATTTGACCCTACCCAAAGCATCAATTTGGGGTAACAAGCTAAAAATCATAATCGCTATGCAAAATAGTCCAGTTTCGAAACAGATACCACACGTGTTCGCAAAAGTATTATGTGCCTACCCGCTGTGGTAACAATTATGAAAATGCGTCGGTTACCTTTGGTTCTCGAGTCTCTAGCTGCCAAGGTTGAGGTTGAAAGTGATCCAGCTCATATCTGTATGGGTGTTCGCTTCTACACAATAAGGCGACGTAATCATTTGCCCGTTTTCTTAAAAAATGTACTTTTTTTCGTCAGTTGAACCGCTGTCCATGACTTGCGGTGTTTCATCGACGAACATCTTAACGTTTGACTCTTTAACCGCTAGAGCGTTGTGCTTTATGGGCAACTGGGGCGTGAATGGTGCATCTGAATTATCGATCAGGTCGGCAAACTGGACCTGGGGTCGGGGGACAGTCGAAGAGCACAACAGCCGCATCACGGTGCCTCGTTGATGACTACAAGCCCTGCGAGCAGACGATAGTTCTGAAATCGACCAGAACGCTGTAGGGTGACACATTCATTTGAAAATTCATTTAAGCTCGTTACCTGTATTCTTTTGGTCTGCATCGGCCACTGTCTTTCGTTGCAGGCACGTGTCCTTCTGATGGTTCCACGTGGTACCGATATTCAGCCGTGGACTTTCAACAACGATCAGTTGCTCCTTTTTCCGGATGCCCGCCGCATCGTCCAACCAGTTGCCCTAGGAATCAATGACTTAACGCCATCGCAAACCAACTACGACGCCAGGCATGTTCAATCACTTACAATGCGCTCCAGAAGGAAGTCGTTAGCGTTAACCAGCTGATCTTGTCTGTCGTCATTATCCATCGAAGGAATCGACAGATTGGTCGAAAAGCCTCCATGCTTTAACAGCGATTGCATCCTTAAAGCGTTTTCGTTCAATAACAACGTCTGATCGATCATAGTAAAAGTAAACGTTAAGTTAGTATGAATGAAGATAGCTTTGACGAAGCTTAGATTATGATCACCAATGGTGAATGTGAAAATAACACGACTGCCGTATCGTCTCGTCTCACTGAGAGAGCGGAATTTTGGGCAAATTATTCTGAAGTTTCACATGTTCAACATGACATCTAGTGTCACACAAATAAATACTCATCATAATCCAACACTCGCGAAATTGCTATGGACAGAGGGCAATTATCTGACGGCTAACGAGGGTCTAGTAACTGCGGTCGACACAATACCTTGTAACTTTGAAGTAAAGCTATTACAGAGAGAATAACATCGCCATACTCCAAATGGATAAATGAAAACTATATGCAAATTAAATAAACAAAATATGAAATAAATCAAGAAAATAATACAACGCGAACGAGTATGAACAAAATTGCCATGTTCTTCCTACTAGACATGCTAGACGACAGTCGTAGAAGCAGAATATTTGTTAGTTATTACCTTACGGATATTACCATCCACAGTAGTAATCTATCTACACCGAGGCACTAAATAAAACTGATTTGCTATTCAGTTTGAACTGGTAAGTTTTCATTTTGACTACACTACTGCCTAAATCTTGTGATGCCGGAGATCGCGCACAAGCTTAGGGTTAAGTGAAAACGCAGGCGGGTGTATTAGAGAAGAAAAATTACCGGTTGTGGTTGAACAGTGAATCAATTTTAGTCTATAAGAGTATTGACGGACTGCCAGTCTGTACCGTCACATATACATAGCGGCATCGTTTGTTTGTGCTGTAAATCTGTGTTCATGAGAAGTAGTCAAACAGCAGAGAAATCTTTTGGGAACTTAGATGGTTGTATTACTGAAAAACCACAAAGAAAAAATCCATAAGACAGGGCATCACGAATTCTTTCATGTCTGCAGGATACATCAGATTCAGGAACAAAACAGTGCATAACTATCTGCAACTATAGAACGACAAAAGGGGAAAACAAACTTACAGGTCGAGCATTCTCGCACGCTGCAACTTGAGCAGTTCAGAAAAATTCGGGAAACTATTGTAAAATTCATAGGTTTCTCCACGTTTGGGTAGTTTACTGGCGACCTTTGTTCCGGCAGCTACGCTTTCCAACACAGCCTATAAAGAAAAAACAGTGTAGTCAAAAACCTTATCGAAACTATATGCCTTATGAAGAGAAAACGCTGCGAAAGTTCGTTTTAGCGGTTTTAATGCAGGACGACTCTGATTTTGAACTGCGTAACTGTCAGTGAGGTTTGGGGAAGGCAGTGATCATGAGCACTTTGCATGGGAAACGGTAGGCACCTTGGGAACGATACAACTCAAAATCAATTGCTGCGTACTGGAAGGAATTTTAAACCCTGAAGCAGTACATTCAAGAGAATTCAAGAGAACCTCACTATCCTTGTAATAATGAATAAAGTTTGGTCGTCTAATGCCAGGTCTTCGCTGATTCGTAAGACCAAGAAATTAGTCTGCATCATTCCAGCTCTTAGTCTAACAATAACTGTTCCAGAATCGACCGACGTATTGTGATAGTATGTCATCTTGATTCTGATATTTTGAAATTCCGCCGTTCAACTCTAGATTGTGCTAACCAGTCAGATGACTACCTTCCAGATGGCGTTGAATACTGCATGCGTCCTATATGATCATTGATCAGTAGCAAGACAGTGGTGTCATTGGGTACTTCAAACAAAGCCCGACGACAGACTAATAACTAGTTACTGTTACAAATGACAGAAATATCACCTATAAGTTAAGTCCGCTGGTCCTAAACATGGAACGAGATTTAACCGTCAAACGTTTCTTCAAATAGTGGAGGGGACCACTGACATTTATTATTCCAAAATACGAACTAAAAGTGACCATATGTGTAAGAAGAAAGCAAGAGAGTATATAGAAGGTTAGCATCATGCCTGCTTGATCGACAGGTATAAAGAAATCAGATAAATTGTATCGCTCACAACAGTTCATTCACTCTTCTTTCGTTCAAACCCTTTGCTGTCAATAGTCAGGGCAGTAGTCCTTATAAGCCAGGGATAAAATCGTTGTCTTCTTGGAACGACCGCCTAGAAGTTTCTTGCGATCCCGCTATACCACTCAATGGCAGCCACTGTTCTTCAGCAGCAGTGGATTAAATTACGCGCTAGCAAGCTGAATTTTGCTTTCTCTTTCTCATGTTCATTCTGTGGTGATGCCGCCGCGCACCAAGATAGCAAACTGCCTTCTTGAGTGACAGACAGTTGATATTCCTTAATTTTCTTCATCGAACATGTTTCGCTGCCATCCAGCATTGCCGGCATAAGATTCAGTTGAAGAAGTAAGTAGAAGTTGCAGTGCAGCTCTTCCAAAACAGGATATTCTTAATGAACTGAACGCGTGCTGGCCTTTTTGCCTTCTGAGCATGATTTCAGCATTTTGATTGTGCCGCATATTAATTTCCCTCCCCAAATATAAGTATCTTTTTCACCCTTTCTACAGTTTCCTTTTACTACTATAAAATTACTAGTATTTGTCCCTTCTTCAGGATATATGATCGCATGTACTCTGTCGCTCAATGGCCGACTTAAAGTCTGACTGCGCCATTATATTTGTGGAATTCTTTTAGCATGTGTCAGAACTGAGTGGTACTTTCCACAATTAGTAAAAAGTTATCTGTATCATTTAGTCAGCATAATTTGACATGACTTAGCCATTCTCGTATGAGTTTTGTTTCTTCTTTGCAATCCATAATTTCTGCAAATAACGGCGAAAGAAGCTTTAGCAGAATTTTCTTTGCCTCACGCCGTTCTTAACCGGAATTCACTGAAGATGGCAAAATTCAGGTCAAAAATCAGCCATCAAAGTCGCTGTTGTCCTCATTTTGCAAGGCAAACAAAACTTAAACAGCAGAATCGCTCAGATAAGTGATCTGTCTGACCCTTATGCAATGATGCTCAGATTTATACCAAGCCTGCTGCAAAGGTCACCTTATCCGTGAGAACAGCTCTGTCCCTACGAAGCATCTGGCACTGTATAAGTAAGCAAAGTAATAATAAAGCGGCGTAGTGAAGAATACATCGAATTACCAAATTGAATGCCTGTACGCTTTCTTCGGTAAATGCCCCTGATT